CGAAGTTTCGTCGTCACTCAGAGACCGAGAGCTTGCCTCTTGCTTGTTCTCTTCTTCTTTCTTTATCTCGTTTACTTCCTTCTCTTCCTCTTCCTTCTTTATCAAATCTTCCTCCTTCCCTTCCTCTTGGCTGGCTGGCGTAGATGCAGCTTCTTTGATTAACGTTTCTTCCTGTTTCATCTTCTGAGCCTACGAAACGCTTTTGATCACAGCAATGTCATCTGTTCCAGTATCGTGTTTTAGTTTTGCTTTATTTCCTGTTCATATAAAAGCACGACGTCAGTAGAGAACGTGACACGTGATTTAAATGTTTAGAATGAACTATTACTGAATGTGATATATATTTTTTTCTTTCTTTCACACACTGAAACTAACCGCTTCGATTTTTTTTAAATTTTGGTTTGTGAATCACTTTTTTCACTTCATTGATGAAAATCCTCGTCTTCTATGGTGTCTCCGTATTTAATCTTCGTGATAGTACTACATAATGTGTTCATCATGGATATTTGCTTCTCTTTCCTTTTTTTTAAGTCTAGTCACTCCTTTGATTATAGAACAATACCATGATAACGAATCATAACCTTGATATAATTCACAACACACATGGCAGCTTTTGGTTATACATGTCTTACGAACTGTCAGAGCAATCCGTCCATTTGACGAAGAATCGAATCATTAATCAAAGAACTGTTGTTGTTGTTTTTCTTCCTTATAGACCCTATTTATTCACGCACTTTATCTCTCTCTCTCTCTCTCTCTCCTTCTCCCACTTGTTCCCTCGTTCACGTTCCCCGCCGCCACTGTGCTTCAAGAACAGCGACTTGGACTGGACCCCAGGTAGGCAGTGGTTCCGCAGGGCTGACAGGTACCGACCAGAAGAGGGTCGCTCGAACACTAACCACCCGGAGTTGGCGCACGGTGTCGCCGCCGCAAACTCATTCAAGTCGCCATATGGTGTTCAAGTCCCGCGTTCACACTCGCAGATGTACACGCCGACACATGTGCACGCATACATCCGTGTGCGCTTTGCTTCTGAAGTAGGAAGAGGTGGAGAGGGAGGGTGGTTGTGGAAACTCGTATGCGCATAAATATATGTAAATATGCATGCGCATAGTTTTGTTGGAGGAAGGAGTGTGGAAGAAATAGAAAGAAAGAAGAATAGGAGGAGAATGATCTTCTGCTACACGAACGTACTCGTATGTACACACACACACACAAACACACAAACACACACACACACACACACACACACACACACACACACACACTCATACACACGCACACACACACATACACACAAATACACACACAAACACACACACACGCAACGCACACACATACACACAATTTTGCTGGAGGATGGATCAGAAGAGGAAGAGTAGATGAAGCTGGGTAATTGCCGTACAGACGAACGCACGCACATATACAGGAATGCATACTCACATGAGCACACAGCAGATGCAGAAAGAGGCGAAGGAAGTGTTAGGGTGTGAGGTACATTACACACACACACACACACGCACGCGCACACACACACACACACACACACACACACACACACACACACACACACACACACACACACACACGCACACACGCACACACGCACACACGCACACACACACACACACACGTACGCCCATGTGCACACTGCTACCCTAAGAACGCGTCGAAAAGTGGTGTAGGGGGGAGAGGGGGTAAATAGTAACTCGGTTGAACACACGCACATGTCAAGTGAGGATTTTACAGCCAAAGAGGTGGAAATAATGCATTTGTTTACAGTGACATTTCGCTTGTCACACTGACCACAAGTGCTGACCATTTTCACATGTATTAAGTCATTCTCATCAGCGTGGCATCTGGTTGGAGAGTGAGGGAGGGAGGAAGGAGGAAGGGAAGGAGGAGGAAGGAAGGAGGGAGGGTGGGAAGAAGCGAAGGAAGGAAGGAGGGAGGGAGAGAGCGAAGGAAAGAAGGAGGGAGGGAAGGAGAGAAGGAAGAAGGGTGGAGGGAAGGAAGGAGGGTGAAGGTAGGAAGGGAAAGAAAGAGGAGGGAGGGTAGGAAAGAAGAAGAGGGAGGAATGGAAAGAAAGAAGGACAAATGAGGGAGGGAAGAAAGGAAGGTGGAGGGAGGAAGGGAAGGAAGGAAGGAAGGAGGGTGGAATAGAGGAGGAAGTGGGTTGAGGAAAGGGGGAGGGAGGGAAGGTAATCCAATTTTGAAAAAGAAATAAATAATGTATATCCTCATGCGCATTTTTTTTCTTTTTTTTTATTTCTTTTTTTCTATGCTTTTTTTTTTAACTGGAAAGGGAGGGGCAAATTGAATATCCACCTGACCGACTGCCTGTCTGTACGTACTAACACGCTTTTGAATATTTATCTATGCATATATGCATACGTCCGCCAGTTTCTATTCAGTTAGACAAGTTTAAAGACACAGTGCTTGCGTGTGTGTTTGTGTGTAAATGTGTTATGTGTGTGTGTGTTAATGTGAATATGTTTATGCGTATGTATGTTTGTGCGTGTTTGTGTGTGTGTATTTATGTGTAATCGTGTTTTTGTTTGTGCGTATGCGTGTGCTTGCGTGTGTGTTTGTGCGTATATGTGTTATGTGTGTGTGTGTGTTTATGTGAATGTGTTTATGTGTATGTATGGTTGTGCGTATATGTTTGTGTATTTATGTGTAATCGTGCTTTTGTTTGTGCTTATGCGTGTGTTCGCCTGTGTGTTTGTGTGAATGAGAGAAAGGCCGGGAGAGTCATAGTAAGAAAAAACAAGAGGTATATAGCAATACAGAATAAAAATGAAAAGAAGAAGAGTGACAGATACAAATGCACATGGGAAGAAGGGAAATTAAGAGAGAAAGAGCGAAAGAAAGACAGAAAGGAAGAGAGAGAGAGAGAGAGAAGTACGCAGAAATAGAGAAAGAGAGACAGACAGACAGAGACAAAAAGAAATCAACCAAACGAGAGAGAGACAGACAGACAGAAAGAAATCGGCAAAAAGAGAGAGAAAAAAAAAATAGACAAAGACAGAGAAAAAAATGTATATATCAAAATGAATGGACAACATGGTGACAGATTATTGCAAATGAGTATATACAACAGAAGACAACAGAATTTACAAATCAAGAAAAATAATTTATCGTTATATTATTCCACTGATCTGGCAACGATAGTCATTGAAGGTCTCTGTATACACAGGATGCCTGTGCAGATGTAATGTAGATAGGCATATGTATTTGTGTACGTAGGAATGAAGGTGGCTTATCTGTGAGTGCTATGTTGTTTTAACGTTAAATGGAACGTATTTAGTATGGGATTATAAATATATATCCATACACACATATCTATCTATCTGTATATATATATATATATATATATATATATATATATATATATATATATATATATATATATATATATATACATATATATATATATATATATATATATATATATATATATATATATATATATATATATGTATATACATATATATATATATATATATATATATATATATATATATATATATATATATATATATATATATGTATGTATGTGTGTGTGTGTGTGTGTGTGTGTGAATGGTAAAACTCTACTGATACAATGGTAGAAAAACAGTAACAGTTGCAAGTAAAAATAATGGCGATAACGGTGATGATCATGAAAAATCATAATAGCAACATAACATCCTCACCCTCCGTGTCAAAATGGCCTACTAAAACGTACCATAATATTTGTTCCTCCAGTCGCCCTCTTAAGAAAAAGATAGGGAAAGAGGGAGAGAGAGAGAAAGAGGGAGAGAGGGGAGGAAGGGAGAGAGAGTGAGAGAAAGCGAGAGAGGGAGGGGGGGGAGATTGAGTGAGAGTGAGAGAAAGCGAGAGAGGGGAGGGGGGGAGGATTGAGTGAGAGTGAGAGAAAAAAAAACGAGCGAGAGAGAGAGAGAGAGGGAGAGAACGAGAGAGACAGAGAGAGAAAGAGATAGACAGACAGACAGACAGAGAGAGAGAGAGAGAGAGAGAGTGAGAACGAGGGAAAGAGAGAGAGGTATTTATTGATATTTTTTTTGTGACTGTGTCTTTACCAGTAAATGTATGTGGAGAGAGAGAGAGAGAGAGAGAGAGAGAAAACGAACAAGAGAGTGAATAAGACAGAAAGAGAAGGAAAGAGTGAGAGAGAGAAAGACAGAAAGAGCAAATAAGAGAGAGAAAGGGTGAGAGGGAGAAGAAAAAAGAAAGGAAGAAGAAGAAAACTACCGCTGCCAAACACCGGAACCAATTCACCCAAAAGGCAGATGATCACTAGGGGGGGGGGGTGCATTGCATGACTTTTTAACATTCACCTATCACCCCCCCCCCCCCCCGTCACTGCCCCCACCTACCCCCTATCCCCCTCGCTCACTCCCCGTTTCCTGGTCCCTCTTCCTCTATCACTCCCGTTCTTTTTATTTACGTCCTTCCTATCTCCCATTTCTCCACCTTTTCTCCCTTACCTACTTTCTCCCCTCTTTATCTGCCTCCCTCCATTCTCTCCCTTCACGCCTCTTCCCCTGTCCCTCACTCCCACCTCTCCCCCTCCCTCTATCTCCCTCCCTCCACTCCCCTATCACCCTTACCCCCACCTCTCACCCTCCCTGCCTCCACTCTCCTCCCCTCACCCTTACCCCCACCCCTCACCCTCCCTTTATCTCCCTGCCTCCACTCCCCCCCCATCACCCTGACCCCCACCCTTCACCCTCCCTTTATCTCCTTCCCTCAACTCCCCCCCCTCACCCTTACACCCTTGTGTCAGCTGGCTTCGGAGATCACGTGTAAGACCGCGTGCAAACTGGCATTGTGTTTCCCAGATGGTTGATAGCTAGCTGGTTCGGTCTTTCAGATATTGTATTGGTCGCTCACTTTCAGATGGCGTGTAGATGGTGTGGTGTCAAAGTGAGGATATGTGTGTGTGTGCGTGTGTGTGTGTGTGTCTGTGTGTGTGTGTGTGTGTGTGTGTGTGTGTGTGTGTGTGTGTGTGTGTGTGTGTGTGTGTGTGTGTGTCTCTCTCTCTCTCTCTCTCTCTCTCTCTCTCCCTCTCTCTCTCTCTCTCTCTCTCTCTCTCTCTCTCTCTCTCTCTCTCTCTCTCTCTCTCTCTCCCTCTCTCTCTCCCTCTCTCTCTCTCTCTCTCTCTCTCTCTCTCTCTCTCTCTCTCTCTCTCTCTCTCTCTCTCTCTCTCTCTCTCCTCTCTCTCTCTCTCTCTCTTTCTCTCTATCTATCTATCCATCTCTCAATCTATCTATCTGTTTCCTATTTTATAGCGGTTACGTCTCAATTGTGAAATGGGTGACTGGATTTCACAGCTGATGTGTGGGTGTAACGGTTTACAGCTGGTGCATGGATGGGTCGGTCTTACTTGTATAGTTAGTTCGGTATCACAGCTGGTGTATATAAGTATGTATATTAACACACGCACTCACACACATATATATTTGAATATATATGCATGTCCATCTATATGTAGGCTATATGTCCATCTATGTGTGTGTGTGTATGTACATATATATGTATATATATATATATATATATATATATATATATATATATATATATATATATATATATATATATATATATATATATGTATATATATATATATATATATATATATATATATATATATATATATATATATATATATATATATATATATATATATA